CCCATAGCAGGACAGACCCCACTAGGCCTGTGTTCTGTCGCTCCCTCTGCTGCCCCAGTAATGCATCTGTGTGTCCCTTCCTGCAGTGCGTTCAGCGAGGTCCTGACATGCTGCACCTCCGGCTGTGTCCCCTCACCCCCCGCACCCCCCCGCCTTGCTGGGGCAGGTGTGTCCTGGCTGGCCCTGGAGTGGAGCACCCCCAGCGGGCTATCGGGGGAAGAATCTCTGACCTACACACTGGAGATGGAGGAAGAGGGCTCGGTGAGTCCCCAGCCAATGACCAGACACTTCAACAATCTTCAACATTTAATCTGTGGAATCAAACCAATTGCCTGCACTTCAGGCAGCCAAAAATCATGACCCCCGATCTGAAGTGTTATATAGCTCAGGTAGATACTGTATAGGGTACCTGCACCACCTAGCTGGTAAATGCTTAACCCGGTGCATATTCAAGTCTGACTCTGTTATCAGAGTGGACCTCTGCAGGACTGTCTGTCAGGTTCAGGGCATGTGTTGAGAGCTGGGTCCTGTGTGCTACATGACTTGAAGGGTAAAATGTCTCCCAAAATTAATACATGGAATTCAGGTCACAGTCAGCTACTGCAGTAGGTGTTCGCTGTGTGAACTGACATGTTCACAAAGCAGTGCTGTGAGAATATGTAAGTAACTGGAGGAAACAGGCAGCTCATAATTCAGTAATTGTGCAGGGCTACTTCATGATTTGGAGTTATTTTCAACACTGTTGTGTCCTACAGGGCTATGGCTTTAAACCAAAACACAACGGGGAGGAGCTCTCGTGCACTTTAAAGAATCTCCGAAGGAGCACCTCCTACAGGTTTCGGGTGAGTTTCAGGACGTCCCATTTCATCCTCTGCCTCCCTGCCCCCAGCCAAACCCAGTTTTAGTGATGCAACAGCACAGTGGTTGGCTTTAGCATGTCTCAGTAACAGTTGCAAGAATAGGTAGCAGCACAGTTGCAGTGGAGACTCGTGACTGCATCCTGGATCAGTATAATTCCTGAGCTGCAGTGTGGAATGTGGGGATGCAGCATTGAGCACCGGTGAGCAGCCTCTAAGGTTGTCTGTCTGACCCTTGAACCCTTACAGTTGTTTGCTGCCAATGTGGAGGGCCGCAGCCAGCCCAGCGCCCCCGTGGAGTTCAGCACCAGCCCGGACAAACCCGGCCCTCCCGGTCGGCCCACGGTGAAGGGGAGAGTTCACGCACACCGTGTGCACACTGTCTGGGGTACGCGCCTGGGTTCACGCACACACGCAGTCCAGCTCCACCTCTGCTCTGTGCGTGCTCGGTTCACCCTCACTTTCCTTTGTGGCATGAGATCATTTGACGGAGTCTGTGCCCGTCCTTGCAGTACATTGCGTCCTTCGTTTCTGAACTTTCTGGACATGCTCCACAGCGCCCAGTCTGGCGCCTGCCTGCATCCTCCAACAATCCCATCTTGTGGCTGTCTCCCTTTTCCAGATGCTCCAAGGGACAGCGGAGGCTCGGAAGTCACCAAGTACGTGCTGGAAATCTCGGAGAATCTGAACGGTAAGAGACGCTGATGGCCGGGGATAAGAGCAGAAAAGTCCATGAATTGATCAGAGCCATTGATCGGGAAGGAAACGGCCCTTCCAGGCTGAAATCCTAACTGGAGTCCTCTGCAGCCAGCGGCCGTGCTCCTGACCTGCATGTCTGGGGGGAGTTGTGAGGAGAGGTGGAGAGACAGTCTGTTTCAGCACTGGATTTATTTAGCCTGTCAGTCATGCATTGGTAATTTACTGCAATTTTGTACAAAAGACTTTAGTGTTATTACTTTATATGTATTGCTGACGTCCCTTGCTTATAAGCTTGGATGTTTTAAGCTTGTTTAGTTAGGGGTTTAAGATTAACCTGATTATAGCCAAGTCAAACGGAGCCGTGGAAAAGGTCTCAGCTTCATTCCCAGCCACTCCGGCTGAGATCCAGGAAGTGCCTGGCACGCTGGGATGCAGTGTGGAACAGTGGGGCGGAAGGCTGCGTGTTGTCTGCTGTGGGCTAATCGTGACAGCGCTGTGTGCGATCGTGTGTGTCCCTCCAGGTAACCCGTGGGAGATGGTGTACAGCGGTCTGGCCAGGGAGCACGTTTGTGATCGGCTCAGTCCCGGGTCCTGGTACAGGCTGAGGGTGTACTGCCTTGGCGCGGGGGGCCAGAGCCAGGTACGCAGCACGGCACCGGCCCACAACAGGCAGCGAGCACGGGCTCCAGCCTCCACCTATCGGAAAAGAAGTAACTTGTATCGTACTTGTATCTCACTGCCCTGTTTCGAAATATAATACATTGGTGCTGAAGCTCACCTTCAAACTTCACAAAAAATAAGACAGAAGAGAGGTTGGTCTTAGTTTGCTTTTGAAAAGCTACTTTTTATTCTCCTTCCAGCAGAGCCAGGTTAAACCTTCGCTCTGAAGGGAAGGCTGCAGTGAATCAGGGTCAACAGGGGGCTGTGAGGGTCAGCTTTGCTACCTTGACATCTGGATTGCATCGCCTTTTAACTCTGATCTACCTTGGAGGGTAGAAAATACCAAGCCTCAAAGCTTTTATAGCAGCCTTTTATAGGAGCTGCTTTGAAGAGTAATCTGCCTTCGCCATGAAACGGATACCAAAGTGCTGTAATCTGTCGGGGCAGCTCAGTCGTCTGCTGCGATAGTGATCTGTCTCTCTCTCTCTCAGGCCTCAGATGTGCTCACTGTGCAGACTGCCGCGGTGCCTCCAGGACCCTGCCAACCGCTCTGTCTGGTGGGGAGACCCAAGCCCCGGGAGATACCACTGAGATGGGGTGAATAGTCAGCGCATTACCCTAACTGGCTGAACTCTCTTTCTTTAGATAGTTGTGATTTTATTTTGTATTTTTCCTTGCAGCAGCTCAGCACCATGCCTTTTAAAAAAGCCCCCCTGAGTTTTGTGAAGTTCTTGCACAATCGTCAGCACTCTGCTTGTCGGATCTTCAGGTCGGACCGGGCCTGGTGCAGTGCACGGGGCCACGCACAGATACATTTGTGCCTGGGGCCCTTTCGGGTTATGGTCTCTGCGACAAGGCTGCACATTCGCTCATGACGTCCCTGCTGGAAACAGAGGGGTGGAATGAACATCTGAAGCGGGCGGTGTTGATGGTCTCCGGACCGCTGGGCCCGCGTGAATGTGTTTTTGTACTGAGAAACGGTGGACACTGCCGATGTTCAGGTTATGTCAGGCGCCGGGTGGCTGTGATGTTCTGATGTGGGACACTCTTGTCCACAGGCCCTCCCCTCCAGGACGGAGGGGCCCCGGTGTCTCAGTTTGCTGTGGAGATGGCGGACTCGGCACAGGGCCCACGCCAGCAGCTGTACGAGGGCCCCGAGACGGAGTGCACCGCAAGCGACCTGCGGCCCGGCCGGACCTACTGCTTCTGGGTGAAGGCGGCCAACCAGGCGGGGGTGAGGAGAGCCGTCACTGGCTGATCCGGCGCTGGGAGGAGGGCGGGTCTGCTGCCTTCCCCTGCAGCTGCTCAGGGCCGTGCCTTTTCAAGAAGAGCAGCCCTGAGCTTCTGCCACGGGTGTCGGCGTTCTGCGTGGCCGTCTTCGTCGGGCCTAGTGCAGCGCTTGGGGCCAAAGGCAGATGCGTGTGTGTCTGTGGCCTTTTCACGCGAGTGACAAGGCTGCACATTTTTTCTTTGATGACAGCACAGTTCACTTTTTTAATTTTTTTTTTATTTTCGAGAACAGATAAAACCATTTTAAGTACAACCGTGTTACGCAACCATCCCTTTCCCACACAAATATGCAAATACACATCAAACGTGAGAATTTAGTTTTATTTTTGTCTGCTCCCTGCATATTTTACAAGTATTTTACTCACCTCTTGCCAAACTACATTCAAGATAGAGGAGGATGCTATGTTAAGATTATGAAGATGAAGAAAAGGTAAATAAGACATTTTTAATTCAAGTTTCTGTTATTCTGTATCTCGACAAATTCAGACTTTAAAGGTTTAATGTAAAGTTCAGCGAGATTGTTGTGGAAATCCAGCTGCTACAGGGTGCTTTTCACAGCTTTACGGATGGTGAGAATCCAAAGGGAATGTTGGGTCCTGCCCGTGGGTGTGTGTGTGGTCACGAGTGCCCGTGCTGTGTGTTACAGTGGGGTCCCCTCTCCGAGATGTGGGAGACGCCCACAGCCCCTGGTGCCCCAGAGCAGTGCGATGCTCCCCAGCTCACCGTCAGGACCGCGACGTGTGTTCTGGCTGCCTGGGAGGTGAGTGTCAGGCGGGAGGGGAGAGGTAGCCTTCCTGTTCGCTGATGTTCTCCGCTGCCTTTGTTTTGCCTGGTGCCAGAATTGAAGATGTGCACCATGCATACAGCATCTGTGGGTGGACAGCACCCAGACATTAATTGACACATTGATTGCCAGTAGTGTTGCCAGTCTAGCCTTTGGACTGCAGTTGAAGTGTCTCTCTGTTAGTGGACAGCAGTGCTCATTTATTTTTGTTCTTTAAACCTTCTCTCTTTGCCTTCTACTTTCTCCCTGCTTGTCTTTCCCTCTCGTTGTGTGGCTGTTTGCTCCCGTCCTCCGTCCTCCATCTCTCCCCTCCCTCCCACTCTGTCTGCAGCGCCCTGGCTGTAATGGAGCAGAGATCAGCGAGTTCAGGCTGGAGTGTGGGGCAGCGCAGGGCTCTCTGCAGCTGGCGTACTGTGGCCCGGCCTTGAGCTACGAATTGAGAGGGCTGACTCCAGCCACCACTTACTTCTGCAGGGTGCAGGTAGGGCTCGGGACCTGCTTCCACACCCCTTAGATGATCTGAGACAGCAACCTTGAGCATGCAGGGCTAGTACTTGTTTTAACTCGGTAATTTCAGATGCGTCTCTTGCAGTATCTGAGTCAATTATCTGTTCAATATTGTATGTGCACCTTTCCAAAGGTCCCATGTGCTGTTTGTGCTCAATTTGCTGTGTTTCTATATTCCTAGTACAGCTCAGTCCTGTGGTTTTCC